CTGAAATATCAGTAAAAATTAGAAAAGATTTCATTGGTAATAGGTGCGCTAAACAATGCGCTAAACAATGCATTTGGCGCTATCTTTAGATTTATAGAACTTCCAGATAAAGTGCATCCTTTCCTGAGTTGCGTTAAATCTCTGAAGTTCCTTGCGTTTTGTCGAGAAATTTGTGTGGGGTATGTGCGACATGCAATATTTCTTATATTAAATAATTTATAAAGCCGTATGAAAAATATCAAAAATTTCAATTAAAAATCATTTATTAAGAATCGGATAACGAGGAAAACTTTATTGTAATCTTGCCTATTTTTAAAACATCTCTTCAAGATATCTTATATGCCAGTTTTGAACATGATGCTATGTTATATTACTTATCTATAAGCTTACAAATGATGTTCATATAATGCGTAGAATATTCAAGAATAATCTTGAAATAGTTGAATTTTTAGTACATAAAACTTTTTTAGTAATCTGTGTATATTTATTTTCAATTATTTTGTCAAATAAAATTTTCATATTATTTCAATAAATTTATTAATTTAAGTTACAAAAGATTTCTGTGCGTAAAATATAATAATTTAATTAAAATTAATTAACAATAATGTAATAAATAATAATATAATTATATTTTGAAGCAAAAGATAATTTTAAGCAGAGATTGCGCACGCGCGCCGCGCGCGTTTATTATCCGAGAGAAATAAATTGAAATTTGGTTCGTAGACTTGTCTCTCGAAGGATGCAACACAGAACGTTGAATCGCATGATTAATATCCTGCGTTCTGCTGCGATAACGTACGCGCGCGTACGCCATTTGTTGTTCCGCGATATTAGAAAGATCACGACCCGAAGGTAGAAGGAGGAACGAATCTCGACATTTATCCGGATATAGAAAAGCCGTGACACTTTGTGCGAAATCATCAATTATATTAATCCTCGCACATATCGAGCTTCTGGAATCTTGAAAATCACGGTATACGATCTTGATTGATAAGAGTAATTACGAATCCCCATACCCGTATCTTTGCGTTGACAAGGTCGCGCGTAATAGTATGATAAATAAAATATGAAGTTGCATGCACGATACGTGTAAATATTTTTATGAGTAATAACTTTCAAAAAAATCATGATGCAATATGTAATATTTAAAAAAATATATGTAGTAAAACACACATATGTATATTTTACATATATTTTTTTCAAAGATATTTACTCATAATAATTTTTTTATATTATATTCATATATGTACATATTAATAAATGTACATATTTTATTATACACAATTGATTATGCGTGAATCATATATTTTATATATATGACATACATATGATTATATATATGATTTACATATAATAAAATATATTACAACTTTTTTTTTATACGCAATAATATTTGCCAAGAACTAAAATGCTCAAATTTGAGTAATTATATCTTTTGCAAGAAAAGTTCGCTATAAGATTTCACAAAGAGATTGATACATTGTAACTGCATTGTGTACTCCATTGGATCCGAGCAGAAATTCGATCATTTTCCACGTGAGTGTAGAAAATCGCTGGTAATCGAGCACGATTGCTTTTCTCCATAACAATCTTCTCGGGGAGAGAGTAAGAAATTGTCCTAACAACTTATTTTGCGAGCATGCTTCGCCATAAATACGCAACCATCATTTCTCGCGTAAAATGTCCCCATTTGTGGCCTCGTTTACGAACATTATTTGGTAAAAGATAAGCAAATAAAAAATTTTTTTATAAATAATTTTATAATGTTATAATTATTCATGTTTACAAAAAATTAATTTATAAACATTACAAATATAAATTTATTTTAATTCATATATTGTAATATTTTACAGGACGTATTTGCAAGTACATATACGTGCATTAGTATAAATATTAAATTAAAATTTCCCCTAAAAAATTTTTGAAATATGTGTATATATAGGCACGTCCACATAAATGTATATTTAAAAAATATATATACATTTATTTTATTTTAAAATTATATTAATTTTCTTAAATTTTTTACTAAATTTTGTAGATAAAGTAATTATTCCAAAGAAAATAATTTACTTAGATCAACATACAAATTTGTTACTGCTTTTAATATAGAGAAAGTTGCTATTTTTGTACCAAAAAATTTGTTGGACTATTATTTAAAAACTAAGTCAAATAAAAAAAATAATCATAACAATAGTCATATTTGATAGAAATATTTTATCAATACTTATAATAGAATTTGATAAAATTCTGCAGAGCCAGTACAGAGAAGATGTTTGTTGTATTTTCACTTTTTTTCACTATATCGTGTAAGGTCGGTAGTAAAATCTGTACTATAAATAAAATATCACTTCGTTAATGACAAAACAATATTTCTGTTAATTTTCAAAAAAAAAAAAAAAATTAAATTTTTATTTGAATAAATAACATATCAATATATGGTACAAATTTTATTAATAAAATGTATATCTTTGTACATGTACAAGAAATAATTATTAAAAAAATTAATTTAAAATAACACTTAAAATTTCACTCTTATCTCTTGGGTGCACCATAAGCATCCGGCATTCTTTCTATTGTAAATCTATGCTGAGATACGTACATTATTGGTACACCTGGTACCTTCCGAATTCTTCTTTTCAAATCTTTATCATTTGTTGCAACAATATAACATTTATGCTGAAATAACAATATAACGCACATTTTTTATTTATGCCAATCGCAATTAAGTAAATTTATATTGTCAAAAAAATTTTTTAACATCATAAAATTCTGTAGCCTATACTTACTTGTGTCACTCTGTTTACAAGACAATCATCTGCATAAGTTCCCTTATGCATACATTTTAATCTTTCGAATCGTGGATCCTTAATAATTTTCAATGCCAATTTATACTTTTGTCCAAGCTTTTCTAACTCACCCATTACACAATCGGTTATATATGGTGTACATTTTGCATAGAGGCATTCCATCATGTTCTCTATTATATCTAATTTATTTTTAATAGAAAAGTTAATAAAGTTTGTGTCAATTAAAATATGGTATGGTGGTCCAAGTTGTGTGTTATACTGAAAAAATAATGCAGAGGATTGCTGTGGCCTGAAAGAAAAAAGTACTACATCGTTTCAAAGTATAAAATGTTTTATAATAAATAATAATTTCATAATATCAAATGCAAAAATATTTATATTAAAAATAATATAAAATGTTCATTTATAAGTAACATTACTTACGTTTCTGTAATTTTTATTTTAGTCTTATCCTCTTTCGGAGTTTTCTTCGATGGCAATCGCTTTTCTGGCTTTCTATAAAAAAAAAATTCATTTTCTTTTCACAATTTATAAAATAATAACAATGATTTGTCAAAGATCATACGAGACATTAAACTTACATTCGTGAATCACTCAGACTAATCATCCTTTTCATTTGAGCAAATCTCTGCATTACAACTTTACGCGTTTTCTTATTTTTCCCCTGTAATATAATTTCAACGAGTGTACAATACAATAATAGTACAATACGATTTAATATGATTTAACAATATGATTATATTATCATTATATTATGACGATACATTCATTTAAATTAAAGTACAATCGTATCATATTTTTATCATATTAAAGATTTATCAATATTTAACCTCCAAAAATATAAAATTGAATAAACATATATATATATATATAAATGTTAATTAAAAAAAGGTCTTACCATTATTCCTTATGGACGTTTTTTCTAAACTGATCAATTACTCACTCCAAAGAATTTCGCATGAAAAGCATCAAGCACATGCAACGTTGCAAACGACAACGATTAGGATTAGGTTAGAATATAGATCCTCTAGTAACTAGTATGTCTGGGGCAATCTGGAGTTCTCAGTATCAATCATGAAACTTTATCCCTAGGATGGAAAGTGAAAAGTGAAAAATTTCTCCATTAATTTCAATGGTAAAAATTTTCACTTTTCATCCTAGGGATAAAGTTTCATGATTAATACCCACAAAAAGCGGAAAAGCAGTGACCAATCAGAACTAGCGACTGATAGTAAGTGAAAAGATAGTCGACATGTAGTCTCAGTACTGTGTAAGAAATTTACTAGATATAGATAACAGAGATACCAACAGTGTCAGGACTGTATGGCTCAGTAGCAGAACGAAAATTTACCAAATCGGAGGAGAAAAGTATCGCAGAAAAACTAAGTAAATGCTATAATATTATATAATAATGCATATTATTGTAATAATATTATATAATAGGTGCGTCCCAAAATTTTCCGAACTTTTTCAATAGGGATAGGTCGGGTGGCGCCATCCGTGTGTTCAATTGCGCGTTTGAAAGGTACATCCCTAGCTGACTTCCAGTAAAAATTTCATGACATTTGGTTCAGTGGAAACGAAGTTATGGCGTCTCAAGTGTCAGTATGTTGTATACATCGGTACGAGAATGAACTTCGAACAAAGAGCCAATATTAAGTTTTGTTTTAAACTTGGTAAAACATTTACCGAAACCCATAATTTGATGAAACAAGTTTATGGTGATAATTGTGTAGCCCGTGCCAGTGTTTATGAGTGGTATACGCGATTCAAGAACGGTCGTGAGGACATAAATGACGACGCACATACAGGTCGCCCAAAATCGACAATTAACGAAAATTCCATCGAAGTTGTGCGTAATTTCATCAAGCATGAGCCAAAATCTTCAGTGAGATACATGGAAATGGAATTGAACATCCCCAAATCAACGATTTATCGCATTTTGACCGAACATTTGGGCCTACAAAAAGTCTGTGCACGATTTGTTCCACACAAGTTTCCCTAGTTTTTGTACGCGATACTTTTCAAGAATAGAGGCTCAGGGGCTCTATTTTTGAAAAGAAACGTAAGTCTAGGGAAACGAAAGTCTAGGGAAATACTATAGTATATGTAACGTATATTGTAAAGGATCGATATGTATTTTTAAACAAGGTGAAAATTACAAAAGCGAGCAAATTTATTAGGTGTTGACCAATGAAATAATCAGTATTCTAGTAAATTCGCTCACTTTCATAATTTTCAAGATACAGAATCGATCGCTAGATCTGTCGATCGAGGAGCGCCCTGATATTTTTCTCTGTATCATCAATTGTTTACAATCGACAGTAAATGTCGGAACGCTTCCAATATAAGGTTAAGTGTATTGACAAATAATGAGACAATGCAATGATATTCTTTCTCATACGATGTTCGATGAGAAGGATTGCAATGGTCTGGTACTCTGTGATAAATTCCTGCCCGTCGAAATACTGACAGACATCTTCTTCTATGTCGACTACAAGACTGCAATGAACTGCCGATTGGTGTGCAAACGCTGGCAGGTGTTGATGAATCATGTCTGGTACAAAAAGACTAATCAGACTATGGCTAAACCGTTTCCATGGGACAATAACATGCCCTGGTCTGTATTTTATTTGACATGCACAAAGAAGCCATATGGGAGAAATTTATTGAAGGACTATTCTGATACAAAAGACATGGATTACTGGAGAAGTCTAAATTGGCGTTTCAGATGTAACAGTTATTTTTGGCTCGAGCGACCCATGTACGTGCCAAACTTAAAAGATATAATATATCATCCCAGAATACAAAATGTAGATTTGGAGGATGAGGGAATTCATCCATATATTATAGACACATATCGACCAACGATAGAGGTATTGTCAAATTTTATGACAAAAAATATATATGTATTAGGTGTTGGAATTAATTCGTAGCGTTTTACAAGTGATGGGAAGTACTTTCATTAATGTATTTTTTAATGCTCATGTGAAATAAATAACATTCTTTCATTTAAAAACGCTACGAATTAATTCCAACACCTAATATATGTAGGGAAAAAAAAACCGGCACACCATGAGTTATCGATTGTTTAACATAATCTTGAATGTTTAAATTAATAGTACTGGTACTATAATACGACTATTCGTGTTGCCCATATTTTTTATCTGAGTGATTAAATTCCATTGTATCGAAAAGCATCAGTTATTAATGATTTTCGTGATGCAATAGTAACTTTTTAACCGTATAAAAAGGTTTTAACCCTTACCCTACTAATAGATCACTACAAAACAATACAGAAAGTATATATCCTAAAAGTTTATATTTCTAACAGTTTATATTTCTATTATATTTCAATTAATTTTATTTTATTGGAATAAATTTTGTTATTAATGATTACTTCTCATTTGTTTTTTTATAATTTTCTATTGTATTATTTAATAATTATTAGTTGTAATCATATTTTATTGTATTAGTAACTATACTAAGAATGTGTAAGTTAATTGAAAATATTTTTTAACTTTCGTTACCGTTACTTCTTGCATAATCCTATTTTGTGTGTAACTTATGATATTCTGGATATGGAGCATGAGTCATTTCTTAAAAAATATATTTTAATTTTTTTCTTAAAAACTAATAAATATTTAATTATTTTAAAAAATGATAAAATTTTTATATGTATTTTTAAGATAGTTTTGAATTTTTACAACTCATGATGCCCCCAGTCTCCTATATGTATATATGTAGAAATCGTATACAATTGTAGATTATATATATCATATATAATACATGTAGATAAGCGAATGGATCAACTGTCGAGAAGATCATCCACCAATCAGTTATGAGTTGACAGTTGAATTAGTTGACATTAACAATAAACAAGTAGAGCAATTTTACACTAGTTATGATATAAAGAGAGAGGAACAGAATCAAAGGCTACAAGTAAATATCCATTAAGTAATTCATATAATAATTCACATTTACATATGAAAATTTAAATATAGCTCAGATAACATGCATGTTGTATAAGCTATCTTTTAAATATCTTGTGCAACATAAATATTATCTGGGAGAATACATTTCTTCAATTTACATTTTATTGTATGTTTCGCAGTTTTTGCATACATTTGAAGACTATGGAATTGGTGTTAGAAAGATAACCTTTAAGCACGGTGAAATGAATGGTTTAAAAATGTTAAGAACGTGTGTTTCTGTGAAAATTCCTGAAAAAGCTTTCGTTCTTTCACAGTCATAAGTTGCGTGATACAATAATACAATCGGCTGAATATTTTCGAGCAACGTACACAGAAAATACTGCGTACGAATTCCATACTTTCAACTATGACACAAATCAACAAACCTACATAACTAAAATGCATTACAATGAATGCAGCTTATATTTTATTAGTATTTATATAATCTATAAATACTAATCACAATAACACATATTTCATATTTATTGGTCAATATTATTGATCGTGTGAGAGGTCTATAATATAATAACATGCTTCTTCCGGAATTAGGAAGCTTTTCAAGAAAAAGCTTTCCGAATTAACATTAATTTATATAAATAAGAAATATGTGTTTTATAAAATATCATTTCTTTTATTCATTTTACTGGCAAGTATTGTCTGTACAAGCAATTCTTAACACATTAATGCCGCTTATTAATAAAGGTATTTACATTATGTATTATATATCGTTAACCTTTATTAATTACATTAATAATTAATAATTCAATAATATTTATTCATTTTTTCTTGCAAAGTACAAATAATAATGATTATTTATGTAACATTTATATCAATAGATTTTTCTACTTATACAATTTTGTACACTTATGTAAGTTTTACAAATCAAAAGCACATTACTGCTCAAAAGTATACTTGTCTCGATTTTTGTACATATCTTTTATACGCCTAAATCGCATTCTAATTCTACTATAGGAGATAGAGCGAGCAAATACTTTTAAGCGATATCTATCACATTTATCAACATAAAAAGGAATATCCAGTTTTCCGATTATATCAATGATTTATGTATTTTATGTTCATGAATAGTATCGTATTAGTCTTTTGGATATTTTGCACGTGTCATTATCCAGTCAAAATACATGCGTACATTTTTTTATTAAAATTGTCGCATACTAATATGTGAATATAAATTATTTCTCTGTTTTTACTCGTCATTTAGACATTTACGATATTAATCTCTCATATTATACACGAGTTGTCATTAATAAGTATAATTCAATTTAAATGTATATTTAACAACACATCCGCACACACCAAAGAGCAGTTTTGCCTCTTAAGCACACAAAATATCTCTTCGTTGAAGAGGAATGAAGATACGTAACACCCACTGTTATAAGCTTTGATACGCTTACCCAACTCCTGCATCTTATATAAATTTATTTATCTCGTTTTAGTAATGAGGTCTATGTCCTTCAAAACAGTTACGCTGAATCTTCCATCTGAATGCAAATGTATCAGATGATATCTGGGATTCAAATTGCAATTTAACACTTTTTGACACGTAACGTGTTTTTGAACTTCGTCAAATCCCATGTAGGAATATTGTTCTATAAATTTTTAGAACATCGTCCTGGTATATGAAGTTTCCAACTTTTCGTGATGTGTGTATACATGATGTGAAATCCAAACATATTCTCAACATAATACAAACTAAAAGTTGCATTTTGTTTTGCACGCAAAACTAACACGTATCGCAAAATATTACAAAAAAATTGAATCTATCACGAATATTTTCCAGTCGAATAATTTATACTCACATAATAAGTGAATTCCTATTTCACCTAATACATGCCTAATACATGCCTAGTGTTTTATAGACGCACAAAATATGTATCATATGATACTATTTACTATTTATAAAAAGTCATTTAATTGCGATGTATATGTATCGACATATATGTAAAGTAATAATTATGAGAAATTGTTTGGTATGCTTTGTATAAAGTTACACTATTTATCTTCTTAAAGATAGTTGTACATCATTTGTTACATTAAAATATGAATTGAATTATTATACTTGAGACTTTCTATAAATTTAAGCATGTATGCGAAAATCTGACTTTTATCTGTACGCAAGATAAAATTCAGTTAGCAGAGCATAAATAATTCTACATTTGAGAAATCGAATAATTTTAGATATATAAAAGGAACAATATCTTTTTTTTACTTGATTTTTTAGATGTAATTTGTAGACATAAAATGTAACTATACAGTGTTAGATGTAAATAATTATAGAGAATACTTTTGTTACAGGTACACTAACTGAGAGATCTTTTTCTCTTAAGAGAAATACTTTTTGATTTTTTTTATGTGTGAAATATACAGGGTAGCAAAATATCACACATTCCATTTATCAAATTTTTAAGCTTTGGTAATTCTATATCATTTGTATACTAATTTTGTTAAAAATAAATTTATCATATATAAATTTATGACACTGTGCGCCATTTTGTATACATGACGTGTACTGTATAGAATCCAGCTTTTTTTATAATATAAAAATCGTTTCTATAAAATCTCATAAGTTTTTACATTTTTTTTTAAATAAAAAATATCAATACCTCTTTTTTACCTGTTCTGTAATCTGATATTTTTTTTTATAAATATATATAATATCACATTAAAGATACATGAAGTATTGATGAATTGGCAATATAAAAACGCTAACGAAACAAACTTTTCTTTATATTCATACTTCATACTTTCGACGAAATAAAAAAATTCGTAGTTTAGAAATTATAACATACATTACAAACGCTTATGAATGTGTGATAAGAAATAATTATGTAATTAAAATTGTAAAGAAAAAGCTCAAACATTTTAAATAACAATATACAAAGGAAATAGCTACAAGCCAATAACAATTATATACAATTATATTAATAGAAGAGATAGAAACGTTTGTTTATTAACTTTTATATAATTGTCATTGGCTTGTAGCTCTTTTCTTTTTATGTTGTTAAATAATTATATTTCATACCAAATAGTGTGTAATAATTTTTACATACCAAAAAATCTGACAACTGAACGTTTGTAACAAATATTATTTGTTATATATGTATAATCACTACGATATTTCTATATTAATCACCATATATCAAGAATTCGCTTTGTTTTGCTTTCAGATGCACATTATAATCTATATTTTAATTTATACATCGTATAACTTATCAATTAATAGCACCAACAAAAAGTGTACAAATTACAATTTTAAAGAAATAAAAATTTTTAGGAATATTCAGTTAGTCACTTTCATCATATGATAATGAATGATTTCATACATCATACATATGCCCAAAAATTTATATTTTATTACAACTTTAATATGATATTTAGATTTTAAACCAATTCCAATATTTGTAACATATTATCAACTATTTCTAACTATTCCTAACATTTCCAATTATATTGTAAGCTTTTACCAAATACAATTTTTTTGAAAAAAAACTATTATATATAAGTAATTTGTTACAATATTTTCATTATAGTGCTATCAAATATAAATATGTATACATATACATACTATGCTGTGTGTATGTATGTATGTATGTATGTATGTATGTATGTATGTATGTATGTATGTATGTATGTATGTATGTATGTATGTATGTATGTATGTATGTATGTATGTATGTATGTATGTATGTATGTATGTATGTATGTATGTATGTATGTATGTATGTATGTTTTTTTTATATATATATATATATATATATCTGAAATTTGTCAAAATAGAAAAAATGAGCACATTCAGTGGATATAAGTCAGTTGAGCAGGCACTCGTTATTGATATATCCACATAGATTTATAAATATAAAGGCCTATTCTAATCGCAAACAATATAATTACTAAGCACTTATTCAAATGTTTTGTGTTCGCGGTCAATGATCTTTTTTATTGACCATATCTTTCTTATTGATGATATTTTTTACTAATCATATGACATTATAATATCATATGATATTATAATATCATGTGATTAGTAAGAATAATATCAATATGAGATTATAATATCAATCAAAATTATGATTTTTAACAACTTTTTTTCTTATATTGTGTGCAATTTCATAAGTTCAATATAAACAAAACAAGACGATTCTTATATACAGTAAGTCAAGTAAGAACGTGGTCGAGTTAATTTATAAAAAAATATATTAAATAAAATTTTTATATGTCTATATGTATAGTACTCGATCAAATCAAAGATGCAATTACATTAGTAAATGTGACCAGTCATCGTCGGCATCGATAATTGCCTGGCATCTTCGAGGCATGCTTTCGACCAAATTAACAGCATATTCTAACGATAAGGTTCTCCAAACCCGTCGAATCTCGCGAGATAGCTGCTTTAAAGTGTAAGTGTCCATATGGAACATTCGTCAGTAAAAATTACGTTGCTAAAGTCTCAATCAATGTTCTCGCGCGCCCAAGCGAGTTGCGTCACATATTTTTCATTCAACAGAGGTTTCTTCACTATGTTGCACCATTTCATGTTATTAGCCGATGGTGACTGGTCGCATTACTAATGTAATTGCATCTTTGATTTGATCGAGTACTATACATATATGCATATACAAATTTTATTTAATACATTTTTTTATAAATTAACTCGACCATGCTCTTACTTGACTTACTGTACTTCTAAAGTATTTTTCTAATAGGTATATTAATGCAGGTATATTTTTTTAATAGGTACATTAATAGGTATTTTAATATACATTACTTTTTCTAGTACTTTTCTTTCTTTGCAAAAATTAATAATTATTTCTTGTTGCAAAAATATGAAACTGTGAAGTAATATAAATATCCAGATGCTCTATTTAGACATCCTATATCAAATAAAAATAAATACTCGTGGGAAATAAATGCATATAAACAAAATGAAATGAAATAGAGTTTGACATTTTACAAGAAGCTCGAACTTTTCTTACAAGTTATTATCACAGTGAATTTTCTTACTTACATGTTTACTTCGTAAACGCTTGTGATGGTATCTGTTCGCGATTTAAAATAAAGGCAGAGACTGCATTATCGTAGTTCCACTGCGTATCTTGTAAGCATTTCAAGCTCCATTCCAGATTCATATTTGTTTGTTGACTTAACGTTAACGTCATCTGCTGCTTCATTTCATCACTGGGTTCCGTTGCCACGAAATTCGTTACTTCTACTGAACTCAGGGCCGGCGCTTCCGACTGGACTTGTTGATTTTCTAACTGATTTAGTTGTTGGTGCAATTTCGTTAATTGTGACTCAGATAGCTGACTAATATGCAACTGCTCATTCTGAATACAATATCCTTCATCCTTCGGAACAATTATAAATGTTCGGTTGAAATAATAGATAATAGGTTCTTCCTTGTTATCAAGTTGAACGTAGCCTGTTATCGTAATGAACATCATTGTTTGCTGTGATTAAATAAAAAATAAATTATGAGTTTATCTTTATTTCTTGTATACATATCTCTTTATTTTTTACATAATGTATAATATACAATAGGATATGATCACTCGTAATAACAAATAGCTACTTACTGTAGCAAGAGAAATATCCATGGTAAAAGTACTCAACAGATGCCTTGTTCGTGGCATTTCTGATATAAAAGAAACTACAGGTAATCTACCTTGTTTCAAAAATTTCTGTCTTCTGGTCGTATCGTTGATTCTGAA